TGTCATCATGGATGGCTTTTGATGATAGCCCCTTTTTATGGAGGTACTTAATGACGGCACGCTGCTCGATTTGCTCCATTCGCGGAAATTATGTCCGATTACTTTGTTAATAAATTTATAAAATCACAACTAATTATCGCACACGTTTCGAACTTCACACAATGAACTAGTCTGAACTGATCTAAATAATGTGGGTAGATTTGATTCTTAGAATTGAATGGATCTGTGTTAGGCCGAGTACTTTTCAATCCACCTAGGTAACGCTGTGTTAGTCCCTACTTTAATGTATGGTAGTGAAAGCTGGGTGTGGCAGAAGAAGCACGAAAGTAGAATAAATGCTGTAGAACTGCGGTCTTTAAGGAATATGCTAGGGTTGAATCTGAGTGACAGGGTGATAAATTGCGTGATAAGAGATAAATGTGGTTTGCAAGATGATGTTGTGACCAGGATTAAGAAAGGAATGCTTCGGTGGTTTGGTCATGTAGAAAGAATGAATGAGGAAAGAGTGACAAAGCAGATTTATATGGCAGATGTGAACGGCCGAGTCGGGAAGGGACGCCCTAGAAAAAAGTTTATCGACCAAATTGGCGATATTTTGAAAATGGGCCACGTTAGAAGTAACCTTAACCGACGAGCATGTATGCGTAGATATATGGATGTAAAGGAGACGAAAGAGGTATATCAGGATCGTGACAAATGGAAGTCCGTAGTCTCTGCCTACGCCTCTGGGTGACAGGCGTGAGTGTTTATGTTATGTTATGTATTCTGTGAGAGCGTGGTCCTACCACGGTAGAGCCGACCCATTCATGCTGCAACGACAATACAGCTGCAGCGTGGCTCTGCTACGGAAAACGTGTGGAGAATGTTTAGAGAAGTTTTATGTTAAATTCAACTAATTACAATTAACAACAATGTCGTGCAGTGACGGAGTAGAGTGGATTAGAATAAGAATAGTACCTATCATTCTTATTCACCGGTACTTGAAGTCCTTCAGAAGCTTTTCAATTCCGTCCTCCATGGTGGCACTACTCCGGAGGCGTGGAGCAGAAGTGCGGTGGTCTTGTTCTTCAAGAAAGGTGACAACGCCCTCTTGAATAACTACAGACCGATATCCCTTTTGTCAGACTCGACGACTTCTAGCCTCCCGAACAAGCCGGTTTCCGAAATGGCTTCAGTACCATAGACCACATACACACCCTGCGGCAGATTGTACAGAAGTCCGAAGAGTACAATCTGCCACTTTGCCCGGCGTATGTGGACTATGAGAAAGCCTTTGATTTCGTCGAAATTTGGGCGGTGCTACAATCCCTTCAGCGGTGCCAAGTTGACTGTCGGTATATCGAAGTACTGAAGTGTTTGTACAGTAAGGCTACGATGGCTCTCCGAGTGCAGAACCAGAGCTCAAAACCTATCCAACTGCAGAGAGGTGTAAGACAGGGTGACGTTATATCCCCGAAACTCTTCAATGCTGCATTGGAAGACGTTTTCAAGCTACTGGACTGGAAAGGATACGGTATTAACATCAATGACGAGTACATCACTCACCTTCGATTTGCCGACGATATAGTCCTTATGGCAGAATCGCTGGAGGACCTAAGCACTATGCTCAATGACCTCAATGGTGTCTCCCAAAGGATAGGTCTTAAGATGAACATAGACAAAACAAAGATCATGTCTAATGTCCATGTCACACCTATGCCGGTAGTTGTTGGGAGCACTATGCTCGAAGTTATTGACGAATACGTTTAACTGGGACAAATAGTCCGACTAGGTAAGTCCAACTTCGACCGAGAGGTCAATCGACGGATTCAACTTGGCTGGGCAGCGTTCGGGAAATTACGACACATCTGCTCGTCAGGTATACCTCAATCTCTGAAAACTAAAGTGTACAACCAGTGCGTGTCGCTAGTGATGACTTACGGATCTGAGACGTGGTCCTTCATTACTGACCGTATGTAGGTCGCTCAGCGAGCTATGGAGAGGGCTATGCTCGGAGTCTCTCTGCGTGATAGACTCAGAAATGAGGATATCCGCAGTCAAACCAGAGTGACCGACATAGCCCAACGGATTAGTAAGCTGAAGTGGCAGCGGGCCGGCCATATAGCTCGAAGAACCGATAACCGATGGGGTAGAATGGTTCTCGAGTGGCAGCCTCGTACCGGTAGGCATAGTGTAGGGCGACCCCCCACTAGATGGAGTGACGACCTGGTAAGATATGCAGGAAGTCGATGGATGCAGGTGGCTCAGGACCGTGCTTTGTGTCATTACTTGGGGGAGGCCTACATTCAGCAGTGGACTTGTGAATGGCTGTAATGATGATGATGATGATGATGATTCTTATTCAATATAGATTAAAAAGAATAATTTTTAAAAGTTCTTCAAGCTATACGAATAATTCGGAAAAAAACCTTTATCCGGGGAGGAACCAGCAAAAACTTAGCGGGACTTTTATAAACATTAATTTACTATATAATATTTAAATTATGTATGTAACCTTTAAAAACCGCAAAGTAGCGATTGCCTCATTCCCAGGGGTTATTATAACTCATTTATTCTTAAGTAGTATAAATAACTTTTATTAAACGATTTGCGTTTAATATAAATTTCTATTTTTTTGATAAATAGATGGTAAACGTGATAGAGCTACGCTGCAGCTGTATTATGTTTGTAGCATGAATGTGTCTGCTCGCCCGGGGAATGAACACGTTCTCACAGCATACCAGCATACCAGCGTAAAATAGCAGCTTAATGCTGCTGTGATTATACCCGCGGCTCGAAACAGGCAACAGGAAAAGAACAGTTACTGGTATAATTGCCTTGTGTTGTTCCTAGTTTTTACTTAGATTATATCTAGTTAGATTATGTATCAATCGTCTCGTTGAATAAATAAAAAAAAATGCCGTCGAAAACAGTACTTACTGTCTATAATGATCAATTATCCAGTTTATACAGATTGCCAGGCTGACGTTGTTCTACCTTTCCCGACGACCCAAAGTCGTATAAAAATACTTTAAATTCGCAATAATATTATTGAGGGTCACTTATTGGGATAAAAACTATCGGATCTCTCAAGTTGGAGCAAGCAATACACATTTACAACACTTTATTAAGATCGGTTGAGCGGTTTCGCAGATTAGCATGAATGAACCAAGTGACATTGGATTTTTATACAATATGTTACAAAAACCCTGTGGTTCCCGTTAAATGCGCTATCAGAATGAGTATTCAAACCTATAGAAATCAATTTACTTTAGAAAAGTCGACCATAAAAAAGTTTAAGCTCCAGGTTCTTTATGCAAATTTTCCTTCGCAGTAATATAATAGGGAAAATATATATAAATAGTTATACATATACCTAAAAAGGAGCCGCTAGTTTTATGGAGTCTGCAATTTGGATCAGCAAGTTTAGACTTATTGCGCATGTTACGAGGGCGGCACTGAAAATTTCGGGAATCAAGGAAGTGACACAACGTTACTATTTAAAAATGTATTTATTGCTTTTCGAATTATTCTCCGCGAAATTTGACACATTTTTCCATACGATGGAACCAATCATTCAATCATTCCATTTGGAAGTTAGGGTCTCCAAAATGGCCGTTTTGTAGGCGTCCACAGCTTCTTCAGGTGATGAAAATCTCTTTCCACGCAATTTATTCTTTATTTTAGGGAAATTATAGAAATCATTAGGGCTTAGGTCGGGGCTGTACGGCGGACAGTCTAATAATTCTATGTTTTCTTGCTCCAAAAACTCTTTTGTTCTGTGTGCGGTGTGAGAACTCACTTTGTCGTGATGGAGGATGATGCGGCGGTTGCAGTTCTCTTTACGGAGTTCAGAAACGACCTGTGGCAAACAATTGCTAGTATACCATTTTGCATTAATCGTTCTTTGTCCCTCAAGAGGAATAGTCGTAACATGGCCGGTTTTGGAGACAAAGTGGCCACCATTTTTTTGCAACACTCCGTGAACGAACAATTTTTGTTGGCTTTAACTCGTTTTCGAACACCCAAACTCGTGACTGGTTTTTTGTTTCGGGTTCGTACGCGTATATCCAGGATTCGTCACCTGATACGATGTTGTATACAGCATTTGAGGATCCTGCGTGGAATCTTTCGAGAGTTCTGACGCACCAAGTAACGCGAGCCACTTTTTGCTCTTCACAGAGCGAATGCGGTATCCATCGGGAAAACAACTTTTTTGCACCTAATTGTTCATGCAAGATTATTTGTATTCTCACTCACTCTCAACTCATGCCAATGTCTAAAGTTACCTGAATTTTGCGGTATGTCACATGTCGATCTTTCTCAATCAGCTTACGCACAGCATCGACGTTTTCTTGGGTGACTGCAGTTTTTGGACGACCTTGACGGGGATCATCACTGAGCTTGACACGTCCACGTTGAAATTCAGCAAACCAGCGATAAATTGTGGTTTTGGATGGGGCTTCATCACCAAATGCAGAAATCATCCGGTCAACACACTGTTTTTGAGTTAAACCACTTCGAAAGTCATAATAAATCATCGCTCTTGAATTTTCTCGAGTCAATTCCATTTTCTCAACGACTAAACAAGTTTGACAAAACCTTGTGACAAGACCGAGAATCTTTTTTTAAATAAATAAATGGTATTCGATTTTTAAAACCAAGGAGTTTTCAATTAAAAAGATTTTAATATGACAGGAACAGTGGAAATATTCCATTCCCGATACTTTTAGATCAGCCTAGGTAAAATTAGGGGCATCATTCAAATTTTCAAAGGTTTTAAAATAGTTTCTTGCATTAACAACATTGTCCGAAATGAGTTTTGTTATAGCTAAGATGTTTATTCATCTTAAAAAGGTGAGTCTATGAGAACCCACATACACTATATTAAGCGAAAAATCTTCTTACATACCATATCCTCATGATAAAACTAGTGTAATTCTAGAATGCTGCTTAGTTTAGTTTATTTTAATTGAATATTAGTGCTGAGCTAAAAATAAATAAAATTTTATTTGTTTCAGAATCAGAAAACAAGTCCGAGGGCGAGGTAAAACGGTATGTCTTTTATTTCAAAATTGTAGATATCCAAAGTAATGTTATGATGATATTAAAATGTATATATTTTTGCTAGATAAGATATATTTAATTGCTTCACTAAATAAATTGAGGATTTAAATTATAAATGTCCATGAAATCGGTCTTTTTGAGGAAAGTTCCATAATAAAATAAGGCCACATCACCAATGTTCAGTAATTTATTATCATATATTGCTAGTTCGAGAGTCAGGGCTTCAACTTGGTGTATTTTCAGGGTTTTATTCAATAAACAAATTTATTTTTTGAACCATATTATAATATGTAAAAAAGTTAACTTATTTTATTATAAAATTAACCTAATCGTGAATGGTTTTATAGTAAATTGAACTACGTACTAAAATTATATACGTGTCGCCGTCGCAGGAGAGATTTTATTCTATATAACTTATTGAAAGTAATTTTTTTATTTACAACTAGTTAGGTAAAAACCTCTATCCTGGAAAGAACTAGCAAGAAAACCAGCGGGACTTTTTTTTAAATATATTTCACTTTACAATAATTTATTTTGTACAATTTTTGAATGAATTTTTATAGAACAAGGTTATTTTTGTTTGGGAGCAAGAGCGTTAGAGTTAGCTTCTGGGTTGCCTGTTATTCTCTATGGGCATAGACTGAAACACCACAGTCTCATTTGTATTTTGTAGTTATTTATAGTTGTGTCTCGTTAGTCTAGTGGCCGTAAGCATGACTGTTTGATCCCGGGTTCGAATCCCGTGTCGGGCCAAAATCATTTATGGGGTTTTGGTAAAGAGATTCTCAGTAACAGCCGAGATTCATGGAGTTGGCGGTGTCTAACCACTGTGCCTTTGGTCCTGCGCCTGATCTCTCTCTGGTAGAGTCGGGTTGCCGTCCCATCGGAATATGAGCGTGAGCGACTAGAGATTGCGTATGTGCTTGCGCACACACTCCTGTACCAAAAACCTGTCCTGCGCAAATAGTCTCCGTTGAAACTGGCCGCCGTGACTGAAATTTGGTCTGGAGGTCATTTGTGGTTTGTGTTATAAGCTTAGGTGAAAGGCGATACATTTTTGTTACCTGATACAAATTTTGACACCAATTAATAAACTTGGAAAGTAAAATATTATATCAATACAAAACTACGACCACATCGTAAAAGTCAATACCGAAAAATCCATTATCGTTTTGTTCATTATTATAAGCCAGTTCGTTACTTTTATCCCACCTGATGGTAAGTGGTTGCTGCGGCTCATAGACATCTACATCTATCTTCGAATACAAATGAAAATGCAGATGCGTTGTCACCAGTGAGGACTAAGATGGAATGCCTCGTTTCCAGTAAAAAGGGTCTCCGGTTCTCTATACTCACCATACGAAACACAGCAGCATTAAGCTACTATTTTACGCTGGTATTCTGTGAGAGCGCGGTCCTTCTCCGGTCGAGCCGACCCATTCATTCCATAATGTCCTCCAGATCGAATTTCGGTCACGGTGGCCTGCCTCAACGGAGGCGGAGGCCATCGGCGCAGGACAAGATTATAGTGTCCAAGTGTACGCGTAAGCACAGGTGCACTTCCCTCACTCTAATAATCCGATGGGACGGTAAGCCGACACGAACGGAGAGAGATCTGGCGCAGGACCAACGGCTTTACGTGCTTTCCGAGGCAGGAGGGTGAGACACCGCCAACTTCCTGACTCCGGGCAGCTACTGAGAATTTCTTGACAGAAAAACTCAATAATTGATTATCTGGCCCGACCCGGGATTCAAACCCAGGACCTCATGATCAGCAGTCGCACTACTACAACCACTAGACCGACGAGGCAGTCACTACTAATATAACTGCAGTATGGCTCTACCACGTATAAATAAAAGCTTAATAAAAGCCTATTCTCTCTTGCCTTGAAGATGTTAATATGCTTTCTTGTATATTTATGTACAAAAATAGATCTTATCACTGCAGGTAACGCTGACACGCTGTTGATAAAATTATTTTTATTAGAAACGATAAAATGTCAAAAATATTGATTCAGAGGTACTTTTTTCAGTTTACCTATATTTTATTTTCCTTTAAAATTATATGCATAACATTGCCATATTTGGGAACGATAAGCAATCCCGAAAACCTATTATGTACATAATATTACTTCAATATGCGACACTGAACCGCGCTGAATGTTGAGCACTGCGGATCTAAATTCTAAACCTAAATTTAGATTAAGTTAGAGCTGTGCATCTATTGTGTTGTGTTTGTGTATTTTAATGTGAATTTTACTTAAGTTAATTTAAATTAAATGAAATTATTTTTTGAAAACTTGTCATTATAACTTAGATTTAAAACTTGTGATATGGACTAATTCTGAAATAAATTATTTTTAATATTTTTAGTAACATACTACAATAGGCAGAAGCATAGCAATAGAATAAATAATGACAGCGTAAGAAATTTTTTAATTAATTTTTTAAATTTGAATAACTATGTTTTTATGGGTTTAAACATTTCTGCCCAACTTGGTCCTATTATTTTATATCTTATTCAATTATCTCTTCAAAAATCCTTCTAAGATTTGTGATTGTTGTTCCCAGGACACATTTAAACTAAGTTAAAACGTAAAATGTCACTTTCACCGAGTATTATTTTGTATCCGCCTAACGCCACTCAAACACCCAATGACATATCCAACGCAAAGAAAATCACTCACCAGGACGCCTGTGTAACCAGTCTCTCCCATTTTGACTAAAGATACAAATCTAAGTTTGACTGAAAACAAAACTGACCTAGATTTTTAAAGCGCTCTGTAGCGCACACTCAAGATGTGATTTGCGATGACCTTTGGTTAAATTTGGACCAGTTGCAGGTTATGCGAGGTTAAATTTAGTTTTTTGGGTCTTCGTCTTATTCTCCACTTACGGATCGAAACCCTTCGAAAATCGTGTATCTTATACTATATAGCTCCTGCTGCAGCCATGTCACCTTTAAAGGTTAATTTAGTTTATTTTTTAATTTTAAAGTTAATCCTGAGTAAGGTAGGGAACCTACGTAATTGAATAGGATTTATATTAAAATAATTTGACTACACTATAATATAACTAGACTGGACTAGAATGTTTAAAATTATTATTTTTAATTAAAATTATGGAGAATGTATACACATCACAAATGATGATAATTGGATGCTGTGGCCCATATCTATGGACTAAGGTATAATGCTTCGTTTCCAGCAAAAGTGTCTCCGGGTCTCACACACTTACCATATGACAACAGAATTAATCTGCTATTTTCCGCTGCTATCCTTTTTTAATAATAAAGGTGATAAACATAAGTTTCACATTCCATCTGTAGGGTAGTGGACGCATAGACATCAACATTTAATAGATTTAATAGACGTTGTCACCCCTGACACCTAACTGTCTGGATGGACTGTCTCGTTTCCAGCAAAAAGGGTCTCCGGTTCTCGGCGCTACCTTATGTAAACAGTAGCATTAAGCTGCAATTTTACGATGGTATCTGTGAGAGCGTGGTTCTATCCCAGTCGAGCCGACCCATTCTTGCTACTACCATAATACGGCTGAAGCGTGGCTCTACCATGTAATAAGATCTGAAAAGAATATAATAATTTCACATTCTGGCTATCTAAATAATATACTAGTATAAGTCAATGCTTTCTAAGCATTATATGCATTGACTGCAAAATATGAAATTATTGATTCTGATTTGTTCTTTAAAGTCGGATATTACTTTTGTAAAATGTCTCTCGTAGATCTTTCAACAGTACGTTGCCACTTATACTAGTTTTGTCTCTTGTATCGTTGATACATTTTACATACTTAAAATGCACATAGGCAAACATCCAGACCTGGGACAGTTATTTAACGCCATACACACATTTGTTCGAAATCACCAACGCCTGGCCATGACCAACGCTACCATTAATTTGTTTGCAAATCTTTGAACAACAATTGAGTATTTCATTTGAAATAAACGGGGCCTCTTGGGTTGTGAGCGGGGCAGGGGCCTCGAACGCCTAGCGATGTAACCCCTGAGGATGCGATGACTCGAAAGTGGTTCCGAGACACCGTTTTAGAACTGCAAGGGTATTGAGTGTAGTAAGTAAGTACTTAGCTAAGTATTAAGTTCTAATAAAGCAAAGCAATAGGGGTCATTAGTTGCGATCCAAACGGAGATCCCGTGACTTCTTGTATATGCTGATGTTAACTACTAGAGTTTTAGCCGTTCGAAGTTTGGCATAACGTTTCTCTTGCCTCCACAACCCCACGATAGTAAAAAAATAGCTCTCACACGCGTTATCCGACCAGTTCGCTGTAAGATTTTTTTTTTTTTTTTTTTAGGAAAAACAAAACACCCCCTGAGGGGAGGGGGGGCCGCCGGACACACACCAAAAAAAAAACATGCCAACCAAGACAGAACGAGTCCCAAAGACCCACACCCCCCCCCCCACACAAAATGTATGACAAATTGGGATGATTCACACAACCGTGGCCTTGAACAATGATTATTGTACCCCGTCAATGTAGCAGCCGTTGATTGATAATAATTTATTCCTTTTAATATACAGAAGTTAATATATGTATAGCAATATACTATACTAAATACAATATACTAAAACGCAGGTCAGTATGTTTATTTTCCATGGTCACATAGAGGCGAGGTTGTTATTTATTTCTCTCGATTATTTATTTATTTATTTATACTTAAATAAAAGAATGACAAAGGGTGGAATTAATTTTCTCCCAGTCAACCCCGGGCATACAGAAATATAACGATTGGTGCAAGAGGATAAAAAACATTAAATAAAGTTAAGAATATACAATTATAATAAATTATACTAGGAGAGCAACAATATTATGGTTATGGCACAAAAGTGTCGGTTTAACCAGGGTAACGCTCTTATAGAAAACCAACATAAAATAGTAGCTTAATGCTGCTTTGTTTTGTATGATGAGAGAAGAGAATTGAAGATCCTTTTAACTGAAAATGAGGCATTATATATTACTCCTCAGGGGTGATAACGCATCTGCATTTCAATTCTTAATCGAGGATAAATGTAAATGACTTTAGGACACAGCATCCACTTCCCATAAGGTGGACTGTGTGCTCGTTATTACCCTTTTTCTATAAAAAAAATCACATACATTAAATATCATTAGGAAAACTTATTGAAGTGAAAATGACAATCAATAAATATGTACATACATACTGTATCAAATACTTCTAATATATCATAACAAGACATATTCAAATTATTATTTAAAAAGAAGAAAAAACATGGTCCAGGGTGCTTTGTTAGTGCAAAAGGCAGTGCTCACTTTAAATTTCGTAGTACTTATGCAAACTAAGTTAAGAATCCCGGTCTGGGCGGTTAATGTACATCTGATATATATTTAATATGGTTACCATCTACGAGTATCTAAGACCATAAGATATCTTGGTTTTTGCCATAATTACGTCTTATGCGGTACGATAGGGTGATGTATGGATTCTCTTGTGAACTATCGACAAAAAAAATTTAAATTAATACTTTACGATTATTTGTGGTAGAGACACACTTTAGCTATTTTATGGCTGCAGCACGAATGGATCAGCTCGACCGTGAAAGCACAAATCTCTCATGGAACACCAGCGTAAAATAGTAGCTTAATGCTGCTGTGTTTTGTATGGTGTGTGTAGAGAACCGGAGATCCTTTTTACTGGAAACGAGGCGTTCCATCTTAGACACCTGAAGGGGTGACGACGCATCTGCATTTTGATTCTTAATCGAAGGAAGATGTAAATGTGCTTGGAAATACTCTTAATATTAGGTGGTATGTGTACATGTTTGTCAACACTATTCTGTAAAAAAAATATTTTATCACTTTAAATAAATTGTGCAGCTGCCAGTAATTTAAAGAAAATGACATATATTTTTCTTTTTTTACAGCCAGTTAAGCCGACGTATAAATTAGTCTGCTGCGATGGATGGATGTACGACGTGGCGACCCAAAAATGTGTCTTCCACTGCAGATTCGGTTGCGAGCGGGGCAAATGTGTTGGACCGAACAAGTGCAGCTGCGACCCCCCGCTTATATTGGAGAACAATAAATGTGTGGACCCTGTGTGTGATCCACCATGTGTGAATGGAAAATGTGGGGGGAATAACATTTGTCTGTGTGACCCTGGCTACGAGAAAGTAAACACAACTCATTGTGCACCAGTATGTCTTCCTGGTTATGAGCATCCATGCTTCAACGGATCTTGTAAGGCTACCAATAATATGACGGCATGGGATACTGACGCTGTTAACTCAGATCTGTTTACTTGCATACCTAAATGTGCGCAGGACTGCATTAATGGTGCTTGCGTGGCCCCAGACGTTTGCAAGTGTCACGAGGGGTATACAAACGAAAGTCAATGGCAATGCTCGCCGGTTTGCGATTATTGTGAAAATGGAACTTGCGTAGCACCAAACGAATGTCAATGTTTTGATGGGTATTCGAAAAAAGATGGTAAAACTTGCACACCGGATTGTGAAACACCTTGTGAGCATGGTGTGTGTACAGCACCAGATGTTTGCACTTGTGATTCGGGTTACGAACTGCAGTATACCATCACAAACAACAATATAACTCAAGAGACATGTCAGCCAGTATGTTCAGAAGTGTGCATCAATGGACATTGCGAATCACCTGATACTTGCGCATGTGATCCAGGCTTCATAAGAAAAGATATACATCCATCTATTTGCTATAAACTTTGCCCAGGTCTTTGCGAAAATGGAGTATGTACTCTTTCTGGAAAGTGTGATTGTCAACGAGGTTATGTCCTTGAAAATGAAACCTGCATAGCTATGACACCGTAAGTAGTAATTATTACCTTTAAATATTTAGTCAAAAGGTTACAGGAGCCAAGTTACTATCTTCTAGTAAAGTAGAGTAAAGTTATAGCTTATATAAGTAAAATTAGTCTATCGAAACTTAAAAACGAAAGAATTTATTTTATTTCGCAGACATGAAGGCTTCCTCACGATGTTTTTGATTATAATTTAGTACGTTGTCAATAAACATATAATATTGCAGTTATCAATGTAGTGCTGGACTGACTTTATAATATTTTGGGAACATCGTATGAAGTGAACTGCCGATACCCTTATTTCTAAGTCTATCATGCAGAGAAACTCCGAGGATATCCGCAGAAGTACTGTGAAACAGTAAGTTGAAGCAATAAGGGACTGACTGAATATGGAAGGACCGACAACCAATGAGGAGAAAGGTTATCGAGAGGCAGCCTGGGACCGGTAAGCGAAGTGTAGGACAGCCCTCCACTAGATGGAGTGACAACCTCGTAAGACATGCAAGAAGTCGATAGATGCAGGTGGCTCAGGACCGTGCTTTGTGGCATTTCTTGAGGAAGGCCTTCGTCCAGCTGTAGACTTGTGATGTGCTGTAATGAAATGATGATATAAACTTGACACAATTAGTAAAGGAAAACATCGTGAGTAAGCTGAATATCTGAAAAATAAAACATTAGGAGAACTTTTGAAGTCAGCTCTCTCAATAGTAAGAGAGAGAGAGGGAGGCATGTGCCCAGCAGGAGGACGTATGAAGGTTGTTGCTTAACTTTTGTTATTTTAATAGGGTATTTCTATAATACAAAGATTCAAAAGGCTTGTTATGATAAAAGTAATATTTGATAAAGATCACGATGATGATGCCAATCAAAGCGACCTATAAAGACGGATTTTGGTAGCTCTGTGACTTAGCAACGAGTTACAGTGCTGTGGGTTCGAATCCCGCACGGAGCAAGCATTTGTACGGCCTACAAATAATTGTTCCGGGTCTGGATGTTTGCCTTTGTAAAATTTATGAATGTGAACTGCCCCAACGATATAGGAGAAAATTCTTGTGTGAAGGCAGAGTTTCTATAAAAACCCACCATTAGATATAGACTTTCCGAGAATGCACCAGATATTAACTATTAAGTCCTCAAGATAATTTATACTCTCTAGAAGCTAATGCAGCTATATGCTACCTTCGTACTGGTAACCCACCATGTAGATATCCCTAGACTGTTACGCCGAGAATGCACCAGATAATTAACTATTAAAGTTCCTCGAAGATTAATTTATACTCTCTAGGAAGCTAATGCAGCTATATGCTACCTTCGTACTGGTAACCCACCATTAGATATAGACTTTCCGAGAATGCACCAGATATTAACTATTAAGTGCCTCGAAGATTAATTTATACTCTCTAGGAAGCTAATGCAGCTATATGCTACCTTCGTACTGGTAACCCACCATTAGATATAGACTTTCCGAGAATGCACCAGATATTAACTATTAAGTGCCTCGAAGATTAATTTATACTCTCTAGGAAGCTAATGCAGCTATATGCTACCTTCGTACTGGTAACCCACCATTAGATATAGACTTTCCGAGAATGCACCAGATATTAACTATTAAGTGCCTCGAAGATTAATTTATACTCTCTAGGAAGCTAATGCAGCTATATGCTACCTTCGTACTGGTAACCCACCATTAGATATAGACTTTCCGAGAATGCACCAGATATTAACTATTAAGTGCCTCGAAGATTAATTTATACTCTCTAGGAAGCTAATGCAGCTATATGCTACCTTCGTACTGGTAACAATTGTAATATCCCCTAGACTCGCTTACGCCGCAACAACACAAAATTATAATTAGATTATTATAAAGTTCTTTGAATTTCATTGTAGGAGTTACGATTTCTTATTATCTTAGCGAACACTATACTGCACATATGGGATGAAACTAGTTTTTACGGATTTTTGACAATATACAATAGACATGCGTTTATTTGGCAACTTACACTCTACAGTTTTGATACAGAAAGTTAAATGGTACATAAAACATCAAAGATAAAAATAAATAAGAGAAAGCAGACATAAAATAATCCGATTACGTGAGTGACGTGATGTTGAGAAGGGTCCTGACTCAACATAAGGCTATCGGACGATTGTTGTGGTGTTGGTTTTCAGCGATGCCCACTGAGGTTGGTTTTATTCACTTATTTTATACTCCCGACGTGTCGTATTTTATAGCATCCATAGTCACGGGGAGATAGCCGTAAAACGCGATAAAATCCGTAAAAGCTACTTTCATTCAATTGTAGAAGTACTTTAACGGAAATTTACACCTTCTAAGAAAAACTTTAAAGAAATTTAAAACAAATTTTAAGTTTAAAGTGCGGCTTTAATCGCGTTCAAAGTTAAAAATTACAGTCCCAGACAGCAGGTCTTCTCACGATGATTTCCTTCAACCCCCAGCAGATGGTGAATCAGCACTTGAAATTGTTATAATCAGGGATGAACCCATGTTGCTCACGTACCGTAAAAATTATCTCTTCTCTTCCCTTTCTTTATGACGATTTTTATCGCGTTTAGCGTTAACCTATTTTTTATTCAAGAAATTTCAGGTACTTTACGTTGGGATCGTTTTAAGTTGGGAATTAAGATAAGTTAATATGAGACGCGGCCAAATACGCAAAGTTTTATAAAGCTTATTCCGTAGGTATCATTTTATTTCTTTTCCACACATTGTATGATTATACGCGATACACATCGATATATTCAATATAATTCGAGTAAAGTTTACAGTTGTATACGTTTAACTTTTGGGAACAAGCCTCCCCTCATTTCTGAGAGGGTTTTAGGGCAAGGAAATGTCCGCCGCCCTGCCCCTTGCAATCAATCAATCAATCAATCAATCATTTTATTCGTTTTCACAGGTAACAAGGTTGACAATGTTATAATTTTATAGTACCTTCGTGAAATGCTTTAACAGCATACGAATTTATATATCCATACATCATAAAATTAAATATATATATAAAAAAAAACAGATCAAAGTAATAAAATTAAGTAGAGTCAAAATAAAATTATTAAATTACATATTTAAATTATTAGTAAATAGAAATTCATTGACATTATAATAACATTTATCTATAAGAAATTTACTTAAAATAGATTTAAATTTTTGCACATTATAACATTTTATGTGATCAGGTAACTTATTATATAATTTAGGGGCCATTTCAACAACACTTTTTTTCATAAGGGCAGTTTTGCATACGTTCGTCTGGATTTTTTGTTTTCGAGGACGAAGGTTAACTAAAGATGGTTGTACTCCTATATCAAAAAGTTCCGGATTACACTTTACAAACATACACGATTCTAGTATATAAATACAGGGTAATGTTAATATCTTAAGAGATCTAAAGTATGGTATGCAACTTTCTGTAGACTTTATCCCACATATAGCTCGAATACAGTGTTTTTGAGCTTTCATAATTAATTCCCTGTATGTTGATAGTCCCCAAAATATGATACCATATCGCAGGGTCGAAGCCACAAAGCCATGGTACGCTGTTAGAACAGTTTTTCGGTCAGCTATTTTCGACAGTTTATATAGTGCAAATGAAAATTTATACATTCTTTTGCAGACTTCTATTGAATGTGATTCCCATGACATGTTGCTATCTATAAACAGCCCTAGGAATTTCGCTACTTTTGTTTCAGAAATTGTTTTATTTCCATAACTTATTATTAGATTTGGAGTACTTTTTCTTTGTGTAAATTGCATAATTTTTGTTTTTTCTAGATTAACTTTGAGATTATTTGATTTTAACCACAATAATGTTTTCAATAGCAAAGTTAATATTATTTTGATATTCTGCTACATTGTCACACTGTACAAAAATAGTGCTATCGTCTGCAAATAGTATCATTGGGTATTTACAAGACTTGACGATATCATTGATATATATTATAAAGAGTAAAGGACCCAAAACACTTCCCTGTGGAACGCCACGCTTTATCGTTCTATTATTAGACGTATATAATTTTTCTTGTCTTGTAGAGATACAGATCTGACTGATTACGGTTTTTTGTGTCCTATCTATTAAATAGGATTTTATTAAATTGAGTGCATTACCTCTTACACCATAACGGCTTAGTTTTTCCAGCAATATATTATGATCTACAAGGTCAAATGCTTTCGTCATGTCCATATAAATTGCACATGATGGGATCCTTTTATCTAGACAAATCACTGCCCTTTTTACTAAGTCGTATATCGCTGTTGCGATCGCAGTATTTGTGCGAAATCCTTTTTGCTCTTTGTTTAAAATATTATGTTTTTCCAAAAATTCGTAAAGCTGGCCATGAATAATTTTTTCAAATATTTTTGAGAAAATTGATAGCAGTGCAATTGGACGATAATTATTGGCAATATGTTTATCACCTTTTTTTAAATAATGGCTTTACTACAGCTGGTTTCAAATTGTTTGGAAATATACCTGTAGTAAAGCTTAAATTAATAATATGACTCAAAGGTCTTGCTATTGTAGAGCTAACATGTTTTATTACTTTTGTAGAAACGTCGTCAAAACCAACACTATTAGTATTTTTTAGACTATTTATAATTTTACACACTGAGTCAGGTGTTGTCGGTCTTAAAAATAAAGATTTGTAATTATTATTGAAATAAGATAAATGACTTAAATTTACATTATTACAATTATTGTTAGAATTGTTATTGTTATTATTTGAAGAAATGTCAGTATTAATAGTACAATTTTCAGTTTCCATGTCATCAATAAAAAAATCATTAAACGCATTAGTGATATCAATAGGGTTAGTAAGATATTCATTACCTACTCTTAGCTTCTGTATTGGTTCTTTGGGAATATTGGTTTTGGATTTATATATAACGGACCAAGTTGCTTTCATTTTATTTCTTGACTTATTTATGTAGTTGTCATTTTGTGAACGTTGTGTGTTTTTTATTATTTTCCTTAATTTTGATGAATATTCTTTTAATAGTGATAAAGCATCTTTGCTTTTTTTTCTCCTAAAATGCCAAAGTAAATCTCGCTTTTTTTTTACAACATACTTTAAGTCCCTTTGTTATCCATTTTTGCTTGGGATTCAGAGTATTTTTTATAATTTTATAGGGGAAACATAGATCATAAAAGCATTTGAATATGTCAAAAAAACCATCATAAGATGTATTAGGATCCGAAGAATTAAATATATCCTGGAAACTTAGACTATCAATACATCTTTTAAATGTTTGAAGGTTTTCATAGCTAAAATCTCTCCTTTTAATACTCCACGAATTGATTATACATGTTTTTTTTACAGGACATTTTAAAATTTGCGCCATATGATCCGAAAGGCCTAGTTCAATGACCTCACTGTTTGATCCTCTTATATTATGTGCAAAATTGTCAATACACGTTCCACTTGCAACTCTTGTCGGCTTTTGTATTGCTAGCTTCAGATTATAGCCTAACAGTAGATTTGTAAATTCTCGACTAACAGAAGTATTTTTCAGAATATCAATGTTAAAATCGCCACAGATAATTATATTTTTATTTTTAGTATTTATTATAGTATTTAGAATGCCTCTAAGAGTATCATAGAAAGTATCCAGACAAGATTTATTTGTGTTAGGAACTCTATAAATACATATCACAATCATGTTATGGTCACTTATTTCTACAGCACAGGTCTCTATCATACAATTAATCGAGAATTTCTTAATATTATCAACTACTCTATACTTTAATCCCTTTCTTACTAAAATACATGATCCACCACGTCTTTTATTTCTTGAAAAACTGGTTGCTAATGTGAAATTAGGTATTGTAAGGAATTCTTCCAATTCTGGTATCATATTGTGCTCGGTCACACATAGAATGTCGATAGCTTTTTTTTGTCTATCTAACTCATCCAGATTTAATACTAACTCATCACATTTGTTCAATAGTCCCGATATGTTTTGATGTAATATATGTAAGTGATTATAGAAGAAAAAACTGATTTTCATCAGGGATAATAGAGGTCTTTTTTCTTGTGTCGATTTGCTTCTCATCACTCGATTTTTGTAGAGATAATATTTGTTTGGCAATATTTTGCATTAAATTTTGTACTCCATTTTGTTTTATTTTACCAGTATACTGTGAAAACATATCATATGTTAAGTCCAGGTTTGAATCAATGTAATAGCCATATTTATTAGTGTTTATGTCCTGATTAAGTAGGTAATTGAAAGTCTCTACTCTGTAGTTATATAATGGCTTTCCACATATGTATGTTGGTGAAACTACAATTACGTTTGTATTTTTTACTTGTTCCAGCCTGGTTTTGATTGTTTTCACCAGACCTTTATAGTCTTCTGAGGTATTAAAATCCGATTCTCCGATTATCACAACACAGTAGTCGTGTTTTGTATAGTCCTTTAATTTTTTATATATATTTTTTAAAATTATCTCTATCCCAGCATTTGTAGTAATAAAGTGACATAACTCATACTGACTTAGAACATGATTTCTGTTTACATTTTGTAGTATTTTATATCTCTTGTCATTTGTGAGTATACACAATTTGTGTTTTAATGGTTTATGTAATGATTTAGTATCCTTATGTACATGATTTTTTGTGCAATTATTTAGTTCTAAATCAGTTTTTGGTGTTACTTTGTCTTTCAATTGCTTATCTAAGCTTTCGATTTTTGTGCATAGATTGCTTACCTCTTCTTGAGCTAATTTCAGGTTTTGTTGTAATTTTACGATTGTATTTTCCAAAACAAAAAATTGCTCTGTCTTTGTCTTGTCTGGAGTCATATTATTAGGAAAACTTGAGGACAAACTCTTGCGCTGTTTTTTTACAATTTGTGGGGTTTTACATATATTTTTCATAATAAGTAGCTCTTGTGTCAATTTGGTGACTTGTCGTCGTAATTCATTATTTTCCAAAATTGTTCCGTCTAATTCAGACTCGCAACTCTTTAATTTAATTTGTAAGTCATCTATTTTCATATTTTGTTTGCTCACAATATCAAGTTCATTTACTAATTCTAAACTGTGTGATAAATCTTCTAAGGATTGGAAACTATTGTTTAATGATTCAACAGGAAATTCCATCGATAGTGATTTTGCTAATAATTTTTCTTTAGGTAGTAGTGTCTGGCTAGTTTTTGCTGAGCTGTTTGGAGATTCTGAGTCAAAAGCATTCATATCGTTACTTTCAAGGGTTTCATCAGTCCTTTTTTTACGTATTGTGATATTGACAGCATCTTTTTCTAGGGATGGAGAGAGGATTGTATTTTTTTTACTTTTTATGCATTTAAAACATCTCCACGATTTTTTAGTCTCATTTGTCCATATTCTAAAACGAGCGAAAGTTATGTTTGCACAGTCAATATGGTAGATATTATTACAAACTGAACAAATTGTGAACTGTCGATTTTCTATTATTGATTTACATTTGAAACATTTCTTTAAAGGAGTTTGTGGTTTTTGCTCCATGTTTGTATTTATGTCAGAAAATTAAAGACAAAAATATTTCTGTCTCCCTCGAGGCTCGATCCTCCGTCGTATCGGTGTCTAACCAAGTCACTTGTACCGTTCGACCAAGCGTGCTCCTTAATAGCAATTGAAATTAAGCATTATATTCCACTTCTTCCACATATTCGTGGGTAGATGAAATTTAATGATAATGTAGTTTGATAGATGGCGTTGTAATCACCAACTATATAAAAACGACCATAAGTTGTAGAATCGAATGTACAAATTTGTTTGCACTTAATCAAAACATTTGAATGAAATTAACCGTCAGATTAATACTTTTCATGTTAAGCGAATAATAAAGAAATATCTTCACTTTTTGCACAAGAATATTGTAGTTTGGAACAAAATCACAGTATTTTTAGTCTTCTTTGGTTGTTGTAATATAAATTATGTCCATATTTAATGTCACAAATTCACCGTCACTTTTTGTTAATTAATTCACAAAACACTTTATATTTACCGAAGATAACATTTATACGATTTATTCCAGTCAAAACACACACACCAATATTACTTTCTTAACTAGAATTTAACTATATTGTTTTTTGTTAATTAATTACTACGGAGCTTATGTTTACACACTGGCAGCGCCATCTTCCCCGTGCCATGTTGCGTGTTGGCAAACTTCACATGTCTTCGAAATATATTTTTAAATTCTTAGGCATGTTTCTTCGCGATGTTTTTCTTTACCGCTAAGCACGTGTTATATCAGCACTTAAAATTGCAGTTAATAATTTCATTGGCTTTGGCGGGGATGATGAATATAGATATTTTCTGATGAGTATAGACTTTCCAAGCAGTGCCCCATGAAAAGGATACTTGCCATAGATGCCTCCCTCGGCAGGCGGATTAGCCACTGCAGTTTATAAATTTCTAGTTGTTATACGAGAGATACTTTTGTCCATCTCCTGGCTTGTTTCCCCCGTTGCCTCTTACGAAATCCACGAGACGATATGGGGTAGTGGATATCCTCACACCGCCCCTATGCAGCATATATTTACAGTAGCAATAATGATAAAGTCGCGGCGTATTTTCTGTTTACATAAGGAGTAAGATTTTCACACGTAACGGTACATAAGAACTATTTCATCTGGCAAGTACACTTGTTTATTGAATTAAAAAAACTATTATTAATATTTTAAATTATAATGTGTACATTTCATACATTGTACATTTAATATACAGTAATTAAAAATTTTTTTTTCAGAGTGAACTGTGAGACCTGTGGCGGCAACTGTACTACAGAAGACATTTGCTGGTGTTCAAACGATAGACCATGTTTCTTCCCTGCGGAAGTGGAATCAGCTGAAATCGCTTCTTCCACCATGTAAGACTAAAATGCGATCTTTTTGTTGTATGTATGTTAACATTTTAAACGTGGTAGAGCCATGTTGCAGTTATATTGGTAGTATAGTTGTAGTACGAATGGGTCGGCTCGACCGGGGAAGGACCACGCTCTCACAGATTACCAGCGTAAAATAGTAGCTTAATGCTGCTCTTATTCGTATGGTGAGTGTAGAGAACCGGAGACCCTTTTTTCTGAAAACGAGGCATTCCATATTAGTCCTCACGGGTGACAACGTCCTCAATTCTCGATTACGAAGTAAAATGCAGATGGCAAGAAGATTCAGAAGCAAAATGCTGATTGATTCATAACCGACTATACATGAAAAAAAAAAACAGAATTCAGGAATTCAGGAGCAAAAAAGTACACATTTATTTTTTATCTTTATAATTTTCTATAATATCTTTTTCTTTGACTGTCAATGCACAGTACTTTTAAAATAATTATAGTTGTCAAGTAATTTGGATTCATATTAAAATAAATTAACAACAAATTTTAACTAAATTAATACAGGCTCTTTATGCTTTCTTCTTTCAATTTTACATTCAAATGGAAAAAATTATTTCCGTAAAACTTACTTTGTCCAGACTTCCAATCACAGTTAAAATATAAAATAGCGCCACAGTTAAATTAGGGATAAAAATATAATATTTTTGTACTATATTATTTTTCCATAATATACAGTACAATTTTGTCTGAAATAGAGTACGATACTATATATTATAGTACGGGTGGCAATCCTAGCTGTGTTCTGGTCAGAAGTGTATAGAGAGCCAGTATAATAGAGCTTTGAAGCATTCCATTTTAATCCTCACAGGAGCAACCATCTCTTGATTCTAAATCGATACATATTACGACAAGTAAAGATGTTTCTGTAGACCACAGCATCCACTTATCAGCAGGTGGACTACTGTACTTGCTTTTCACACAGTTTTGTTAAAATAATGTGCAAATTTTCCAGGTTAGCTGGCTTAGGACTGACTTGGATGGTTGGAGGTGCGGTGGGTTTGTTGCTACTTATTCTGGTAATTGTGGTTATCGGTCAGATGTGGAGGAAAAGGAAAGAATATCCCACTAATGAAGGTAACAATGTCATTTTAAATAAAATCATTTTTATTTTTATAAAATTAGGCGGTATGCGTACCTTTGCTCCGTTTAAGTTGGTGTCATCATAATTTTTGCCACAGCAGCGCACCTACTCTTGTGTTCCGGTTTGATGGTAAGGGAGTATTTAGTGTAATACCACTATTGTCACTACTAGCCATCATTAGCTTTTTCCTTTTTATTAGTTTTAATAGTCTACTGTTGGATATGAGGTCTTTCACAATATACGGAAGACTTGTTGCAATCAGCACGCTTGCAGTCAGATAGTCAACTACAGCCTGCAAGCTGTTGTGAGGCATAGGATATTTTTGATTAAAGGTGGTTACAGGTGTCCATAGGATAGGATTTCATACGTGGTAGAGCCACGCTGGAGCTATAGCAGTAGTACAGTTGTAGCATGAATGGGTCGGCTCGACCGGGGAATGACCACGCTCTCACAGAATACCAGCGTAAAATAGCAGTTCAATGCTGCTGTGTTTCGTATGGTGAGTGTAGAGACCCATTTTACTGGAAACGAGGCATTCCATCTTAGTCCACACGGGTGACAACGCATCTGCATATTGATTTATAATCGAGGATAGATGTAGATGTCTATGGGCCACAGCAACCACTTACCATCAGGAGGACTGTGTACTCGTTTGTCACCCTTATCCTTATATTTTATAAAAAAAATTGTGTATTGGATAAACACTTGTACTAGTTTACTAATATTTATTTTACATTATTATCAATTTTTTAAATACTAGCCCAGTTATTAACATTACAGATATTTCCTTTCACCACTCCTGGTAAGCCTAAAATGCTTGCGTTAGGAGTGGTTCATGACAGTAGTCGAATAGCGGATTCGAACTCACGACTATATATGTTTATAATATTTGTTATATAACTCTGTGTAATATAATACTGCTTTCACCTACTTTCTGATGTCTGAATAGTCGGAAATTTTACAGGTATGTTATAAACCCGTGACATGTCATAACTATGAACTAGATTCCTACTAGGATCTTTACAGCTTTTGTTTTTTGGTTTTTTAAATTCTAGTTTTTTTTTCATTCGTTGCCCATTTTGACACCTAACAAATATTGTGGGAACTTGAGAATTGCGCATCACATATCTATAGTGCTACATGTATTTACTTTGTAACTAACAGTAAGAAGACATTCAACTCTTTTAACTTTAATTCCACATTACATGAAAAATCTGTGTCCACATCCCAAGAAGTTACTATTTGACATGATTTATTAAGTTCTAGACGATGGAAGTAAATATGGTGAAGAAACATTCAGAATTTGTTCCTTTATAAATAAAATCTATTTTGAAGGTAATTGTTTAGTCCCGTTATACTTTTGAATTTACTTTGTTCCTTTTATTTTTCGACAGGAAATAATTTCAGCAGTGTGGCATACACGGTTCCCAATACTCTTTTAAAAGTCCGGGAGGATATCAAACCAGAAAATGATTACGATGTAGTCGATGACCAGGATCCGACAAAAGCAGCCGGCGAAGCATTACTCGAAGAGACAACAGTTATTGATGATAAAATGTACGATTAACGACGCTAAAATAATAGACGCTAGTTAGCCCTCCACATGTAAAATCACGAATAGAACCTAAATTGAATCTGATACATAGTCCTATTCTTCTTATTAATTAATTATTAATAGCATTACTTAAAAATGGATGAACGTTTTAGGTTTCAATCATTAAATAAATAATAAATATTTATCAAAATAATAATAGGCTTTAATAATTATCAATGGTCGCTTTGCAGTATTTGAGATTGAAAATAAAATAATCAAGAGTCAGAAAACGATTTCATTAAATTTATTATTCGACATTACTAATAAAATTAACAAAATATCTTTACAATTTCGTAAAAATTATGACAGCAGTCCAAGAAAACAAAATATTAAAATGTTAAAAATGAGAAAATCGTCCATTTCGATTGCTAATCTAAACTTCCATGACGTTACCAAGCCATCAGGGAGACACGAGGCTATTTCATTTGAGAATATAGTTCTTTTTGTTTTAAAATAATATAGAAAACTTAGGAGTTCATCTAGGTACTACTTATCTAATTCTGTTACCAATCAGCATTGTAAACATTGTAATCCAGCCTTATTCTCGGGTTTTGTCGACTCGCCTGTGGCCTACTTTGTTTCTGGTTGCCAGTAGCTACGGGTTGCAGCCAGCCGGTAGCCACTTACCATCAGGTGGACTGTAAGCTCGATAATTTGGTCGATATTTTAAAAAAATATGACATAAGAAACGTGCATTAAGTAAGTAAGAACATCATAGATTTTATGTTGGTAATACTCAGTAATTTAAGGGATAATTAGAACTGAATGAGACAGTCTAAGATAATTTTGCAGTTAATATATTGTTCATAAATTTTGATTCGGAACACTCAAGAGTGATTCAGTTATTGTATGAAACAGTTTTTACGTACGTACATGAATATGTAGGCAAATACATTTTACCAGTAATTGTTACGTTAACAAGCTTATAGTTCATATGTCAAAAACGTTTGCCATTTTTGTCATTAATTATATACTTTTGTTATACTACTTCCAGTACATTTATGGGTTATGAAATCGTGAAGTTTTCAGTTAAATCATTTAGTTCAAATATTTTTCTAATTAGACTACTCATATTTATTATACACCGGATTTAACTTTGTGATATAAAGAGGAGGGTGTTTGTTTTTTCTTAAATTAAATTATTAATTACTAAATTCAGAAATTACAAAGCATTTAGATTCCATGTAAATACTTAAAGTAATATATAAGATATAAAATTGGATACGTTATTATGATATTTTCTATTTATTATGTAAATTCTAAATTATCATTAAGCGCTTGTACTTCATTACCTATACTTAAATTAAGCTGTGATTATTGTGATTACGTCTTTTCGACTTAATGGTCGGTAAATAAACTTTTATAAATATAATACGATGAATAAAACAGTTGCATTTCTTTGTTATTTATTTAACATTTTGAATATTTACAGATTTTACTAATAGTAAAATCTGTTTATTTAGTCTAAAAACAGATTTATCAACCAGTATAAATGCTTAGCTATCTTTTGTAGCATATATTATAGTAGATACTGGTGGAAGCCAGGTATTGGAAGTGGTTGAAAACTGTCATTTAAAACTTAAAATCCATACGTACTTAGTTGATATCATATCATCATCATCTCCATCATTATCATTACAATACTTCTTAAGTCCACTGCTGAACATAGGCCTCCCCCAAAGAATGCCATAGATGCGACCAAATATTATACTGAAATTATTACTAAATCTAAAACAGCATTTAAAAAAAGAGTTGATGAGAAAACATTTTTTTGCTACAATGGACACACATCCATTTAATGTTAATATCTATAATTACAACGTCGTCACACCATTTAGTGGAGGTTGCCCTATAATTCGTCAACCGGTACGAGGCTGTCACTCGAAAAGCTTTCTTCTCCATAAGTTGTCGGTTCTTCGAGCTATATAGCCGGCCTATTGCCACTTCAGCCTTCTAGTCAGTTAGGCTATGATGTTTACTTTAGTTCTACTGCGGATATTCTCATTTATAAGTCTGTACACCTAACTGTCACACCTAAGCTTAAAACACGCTATCAAAATTCCGAATCATAAATAATAAATATAGAACATCTCCGAACTATCATACGGAGTGTTGGCCGCTCACCGGGCAGAACACCTTGCCCGGCGGGAGATCTCCCCTTTTCCTGCCCTGGCCACAGTGGTGACCACCTGAGAGACCTGGAGCTACCTTACAAAAAGTGAAGAAAAATCTTTGGTAGGCATGCAGGAAGTCGATGGATGCAAGTGGCTCAGGACCGTGCTTTATGGCATTCATGATCTGCTGCATGACTTCAACTATGACAACAACTTCCGGATAACCATCTTCTTTATCAACCCTTGAAAACCTACTGTTGGATATTGACCTTTACACAAGATTTGGTATCATTGTCAGGCTTGGCTCTTGAATTTGTGATCGTAACAGCAAATGTCTAGTACTTTTGTGGCTGCTCTCAATTGTCACGAATACGAAATGATGTAATGAATTCTCTTCAGCTCTCTACGCTGCCCATTAAGCTCTTTGACCTTCAGTTTGCAATTCAGACATCAAAAAGACAATACTTAGCTTAAAAATAGATTTATTCTTAAATTCGTCAAATCAATCATATTAAAATTCAGATCTGTCTGGGAACTTCAAATTGTACAGTTTTAATAACTTTTTCTATTTCACTTCAAAGGTAATAAATATTTTTCTGTTCAGCAGGATTTAATTTACGAGATTTGCTGTTCGATTTAAGACTCTAAGACGATAACTGTAAAACATTAGTTAGTATGAAATTAATGAGTTAATGCTAGGAATTTTACGTAGACCACAATTTTTATTTGAAGAAGGAATTTTGGATCCGTTGGTTAAGTAAGTTTTAGGTTATGCCGACCGAACTTTTATAAGTCAGTTTACTAATCTGTTGGGCACATAACCCTCGGTTAATACTAAATACATAAATTATCATAGAGTACTCTCCATGGTATAGTGCCGAGGACGCTGGCTGCGTTTCTTCGCTTATTGGCTACACTGAGCATTTGAGTGCGAATAGAACCAGCCCTCTTTTCACCAGCGACGGAGACATGACGTGGATACAGTTTTTTTAGGAAATTCACCACACGTTGACCTCATCGAACGCTCATAGAATGGTGACCTGTCTAGGGAGATCAGTTTCACAAATTATTTAAAAAATAACGGTAGCCAGTCAATCTCTTTAAAATTGCAGGTTAATAACACTGTTGATGATGATTTATTATGGATATTATCTAAGCACTCAATAAAAAAGAGAGGTGGAGAGAATTTACTAGGTAAAAGGATACTTTTTCTGCTGAGAAGTACGTCCAGGTAGTTACCTCCCTTTTATCTATTTCTTTTTTTTACTACCTATTTTAGGCAGTGATGCAGCTGAAAACTGTGACGCGAACTAGATTTGATCTCGACTGGCCCGAGTATTCGTCTGGTATTTCTGCACAACTGTTCTGTCGTCTGCATACCAATAGATGTCGAGAATAAGCTGATCATTAATATGCAGCAGAAAGAATTGCGGAGAGAACGAACTCCTGAGAAAATCCGGTGCTAGTCGCCATAGGATTGGATGAGCAGTCATCGAAGATGACCCGGAGAGACCGTTCACTCAGAAAGTCCTTCACCTAGTCATTCAGGCCGTACGCCGGAAGCTTACTAACCCGCCTGAAAAGCGTGGTAACTATAGCACCCTCCCAACCCCCCATATAGAAAGGCCAAACAGTGGACTTTTGATAGTAATTAATGAACATATGAATGAAATTGTCTTTTTTATAGGATAGGGTGACAAACGAGCACACAGTCCACCTGATGGTAAGTGGTTTCTGCGGCCCATAAACATCTACATCTATCCTCGATTACAAATCAAAATGCAGATACGTTGTCACCTGTGAGGACTAAGATGGATGCCTCGTTTCCAGTAAAAAGGGTTGTCTGTAGATTTTAGTTAGTTTTAGATTATTGGTTCAACTGTCTTCAAAAAAGGCGTAGGTTGTCAATTTGACTGTATCTTTTTTATTACTGTTACCTCAGAACTTTTTTTGTAGGTGGACCTATTTTAATGTTTTTTTTATTTCAAAGCTGGTACTTCTCATGTGGTCCCGTATAAATGATCAAGATCTGACTAGCAGTTTTTAAGTTGTCTTTAATAATGCGTATTTAATTGGGTTCGACTACATTGATGATGTTCTCTCAATTATATTGAGGTCGGTTGTACAAAATTTTAATTTTACCTCTTGTTATGTGGGATAGTCAGAAATTACGGACTTCTATTTGACACAGTTGTATCGCTTCTTAGGCTAACCTATAGATAAACACACACGCGGAAAATTAAGTTTAATCTTCTCTGGTACCGATGAAATGAATACGAATCAATAAACGGACACGTGGTTCATCAGCGCTTAAAATTGAAATTCAGCGTGAGAAAAAATAATTATAAAATTCAAGGACATGTGTCCGCAAAACACATAACGAAACTTTCCTATTCATAAACTCTCTTAGGCGTGAGTGAGAAGCTTGTGTTTAAATTTAGAGATAATAAAAATATATGTATGCAGATCGTTATTTCATCATCAGCATAATTATATCAGTTATATTATGGTTTTAGCAAAAATGGGTCAGCTCGACCGGAGTAGCACAAGGCTCTCACAAAGAACCAGAGTAAAATAGCAGCTTAATACTGCAGTGTTTCGTATGGAAAACGAAAATAACCGGAGACCCCTTTTACTGGAAACGAGGTATTCCATCTTAGTCTTCAGGAGTGACAATACATCTGCATTTTGGTCCTTAATTAAGGATAAAGTAGTAGTATCGAGAGAAAAGTAGATCGATCGATAGAATCGAGGATAAAGTAGAATCAGTCCATAGTGTACTTACCCACTACTTACTATCAGGTGCACTGTGTGTGTGCTCGTGTGTCCCTCTTAGTCAAAAAAAAATAAGTTGACTTCTGAACATAGGCCTCCCCGAAGGGTCGCCACACAACACGAACCTGAGCCATCTGCATCCATCGACTTCTGCCATGTTTTTAAAGGTCATCATTTCATCTAGAGGGGGCCGTCGTTCACTCCTCTTAACGGCACGGGGCTGCCACCCAAGAATTGTTTTTTTTTTTAAATATTACAGCGTCTTAAGATGATAAATCTATCCTCGGTTAAGAATCAAAACGCAGATGCGTTGTCATACCTAAGGATTATGATGGAATGCCCCGTTTCAAGTTAAAAGCGTCCATTAGTTATTATTATAATATTATTATCATTATCATTATATAAGTAGATAAAAGTTCCTCTTTGTTCCTATTAGGACATTCCTTTTTACATCCGAATAGAATATATTCAAAACCGTTGTAATATTTGTTGTTTGTAATTTTTAATTATAACGTTTAAATAAATGTGCAACTTCATAATTAGTAGGCACCAGAAGTTATGTTGCCCCGATAACGTTATAATGAGGTGCATTTTCCTTAATGGATACTATAAATGGCAATTTGACTACTAGTTGCTCTTGGGATTTGTCTAAAAATATATTTATATTTTCATAAATTAACAAATTTGGCACTGCTGGCGATCGATAAATTTATTATTCCCGTGGATGGAAGTCGATAGAGGGACTCAAACCAGAACATGGGTAGCAGCGACCATATAATAATAACTTAAAAAAACTGCGGTTGCCAACCCAAGCGTGGCAACTATGGTAAGTACACCCCTTTGAGGCAATCTATGGGGGAGGCCTATGTTCAGCAGGGGACTTAGGGTGTAACTTAGCTACCACTCGTGCAGGGTTACCCATTGCAGTACTGTAGTAATTAACGCATCTGCATTTTGATTCGTAATCGAGGATAGATGTAGACGTCTATGGGCCACAGCAACCACTTACCATCAGGTGGACTGTGTGCTCGTTTGTCACCCTATTCTATAAAAAAGAAATTAAAAAGTAAACATAGTAATTTAAATAACACATACACACCTTGCATAATGCCGCACATGAACAACTTCAACGCCACGGGAAAGGCAGCATTATTTTTTGTAGAATAAGGATGAAAAGCGAACAAACAACCCGCTTATGATAATGAATGAGCCACGGTCATCTACAATCTCTCTACATCTACTCTGGAAAAAAATCTACGTATATTCCTGCAGATCTTGTCCTCCAGGGGATGCCTCTCATTAAAAAGGGTCTCCGATTATCTACACTCAGCTGCAAAACACAGCAGCATTGAGCTTTTCTTATAGGCTGGTATTCATTGAGAGCGTGGTCCTTCCCCGACCGATTAATTGGTTCTGCGAATGTAATAATAGCTGCAGCGTGGTCCTACCACGAATTCTTTAAAAAAGGAATAAGCTCGTTTCTTGAAGGTTAATGAAATGTTATTAAAAGCAAAGTCTATGCGACTTGATTTCGTTAACTTTCTGCACGCCTTGTGATAGTGGCATAAGAGAATTTTCCCCGTTCCAGTTTGTGGGCGAATTACGCTACTTTTAGCTATGAGTAGATGTTTTATTGATTTTAAATTCATACATATATATCATCATGATCATCATTATCATTCATCATCGTTACAGCCTTTCACAAGTCCACTGCTGAACAAAGGCCTCTCTCAAGGAATGCCACAAAGCACGGTCCTGAGTCACCTCCATCCATCGACATCTTGCATGTCTTACTGTCTTATCACTCTATATCTAGTAATAAGCCACCCTACATTTTAATTATAATTATTTTTTAATTGATCAAACGTCCAAGTGAAGTTAGCGAGGACAAGAAGTGGCAAACGAATTTACATGAAACAAACTCCCAGCCCACCTGATCTGCAACCAACTTCCAACAAAGAAGGTAGCCTAGGAAGACTGCAGCTTTATTTCCCGTCTGACAGCCATAAGATCAAGAGTGTGGTCGAAGAGTTTTTGTGTTCTACTGCAACGACTCTTGCAATACTTAGCTGTATGGACTGTTTCCACGAGCTTGTCATTCATAACATCCACTACGTTGCCTAGTATATATCATTATCACTACACTGTAATATGTTATCGTGTAGAGTGGCGGTGTAAGACCCCCCCCCCATGTCGTAATCTGTAGCCTACTTTGATTGAAGTTGGCTTCAGGTATTAATGGACTGCACTAACCACTTACCATCAGGACAGTAAATTCATTTGTTACGTCAATTTCATTTAACACTAGTTTACTTTTTACTAAGGCTATATAATTTTTTTGTTTCAAATTGCAAGATACAATACACGACAATGTTTAAATATAAAAATACAAAAGCTTATCGAAAAAACCCGCAAAATGTCATGCGGTTGTAAGATAATAGGATGTATGATGTATATGTACATACATACGAACAGATATTTTTTACATTGTTAATACATGTGTAACGCATTATAAAGTTCACTTTATTCATTTGGGAAGGTCAAATTGTAGCGGACGGAAATTGTGTTGCTGTGAAAATGTATTTATATATCAGTTTTTACCTTTTTGTGGTGAGTAAATTTTAACTATAGCTACAAAGCCTAATTAAACGATATATTAAAAAATTGTATAAATATTTTTTATCAAGCTATATTATGGTTGTAGCATGAATGGATCGGCTCAACCGGTGTAGAACCATGCTATCACAGAGTACAACTACTAGAGCTAAATAGTATGGTGAGTGTAGAGAACCGTAGACCCTTTTTACCTGAAATAAGGCATCTTATCTTAGTCCTTAGGGGTAACAACGCATTTGCATTTTGATTCTTAATCGATGATAAATGTAGATGTCTATAATTCACAGCTTCCATTTACCATCAAGTGGACTGGGTGCTCATTCGTTATCCTTATTCTTTAAAAAATAATACAGTGTCTGATTTAATTTGTAGCCATTTTTAAGAAATTATTTTTTTAAAGTTGTTGTTTAAACATTAGAGGAAACTTTTGAGAAATGATAATGAAAAGCTTAACCTAGTTATTATACTATTTTAAGTGTACTTAGTATTTTTGAATTTAGAAAATTATTTACATATTTTTAAGTGTACTCAGTATTTTTGAATCTAAAAGAGCTTTAATAAATTGTTGTTTTAAATTAAACCAGTTAAAATTAATCAAGATAAAATTACTTTTATGTTTTATTAAATGTTAAGTATAAGAAATCATTATTTATATTTTAAAGCTATAGTAGATTAAATCTTTTTGTCTTGATTTCTTTAGAAAAATGTGTATAAAGTGCGATTCTTCGATATTGTCCACGGCGGTAACTTCCTAATACTGTTGTAAATAGGTGTTTATGTGTTGTGTTTAAAAGGGTATGAAGATCAGGCTGTGATGCATTCCAATTTAGCCCGTAGGAGTGATAGCATACCCAATAATTTATGATTGAATTTAGATTGGAGATGGTGAGTAATAATAATGTCCTCGGAATCTTCCACTTCATTCAGTACAAAATAGTGCAACACCCATCAACCTCACCTTTACTTAAAAAATCACGTTCCTAACAATACCAGTCTGTATGATTTATGTTAGACATAATTGTTAGGATTTTCAGCCACCGGTCTTTAGAATAGTGTTTACATTGAGAGAGGTTGGCGTTTAGAGGAAATGTTACAAAACATGTAATTTCTCCGTACGCTCCAACATTTTTTACTTATTTCTTTGATATGGCACAGAATCACTGCGTACTGGCGGCGTAAGAGAATAAACTATCCCAAATCGCCCAGTAAGTATTGTAAGATTCGACAGAGGAAAACTACCCCTTCTCCCAAATATCCCCCTCTATAAGGCACCCATGGGTGAGGCCTATGTTCAGCAGTGGACTTTGAAAGGCAGTAATGTTGATGATTACGGCACAAAATTGTAGATTAATAGGAGTAGGTAGCATAAACTATTTGTTACTTTGTGTGCGGTTGTACCGGTACTTTTATTAATAAGTAACAATCGGTTTCCGCCATACATCCGACTTCTATAAGCTTATAATTGGAACGTAGAATCCTATTTATATAAATGTATGTACATACCTATACCTATTATAACGACCTTAATAAGGATATATTGGTTTAATTTATGTATTTACTCTTACCATGTGGAGCCACGCTGCAGTTATAATATTATGGTTGTAACACGAATGGGTTGGCTCGACCTTGGAAGGACCACGTTCTCTAGCGTAAAATAGTAGCTCATTGCAACCGTGTTTTGTATGGTGAGTGTAGAGAACCGAAGACTCTTTTTACTGGAAACGAGAGATTACATCTTAGTCCTCATGGATGCAACATATTTGTTTATGGACCACGGAATTCATTTACCATTAGGTGGACCGCGTGCTCGTTTGTCACCCTTATTCTATAAAAATATATTATCTCTACAATGATTATGATGATGAAGAAGATAGACGAAGTCAGGTTTTCCTGTTGTAATAATAATTTACTTATTTCGAAACAGATTCTACAAGCCGTGTGTTCAGAAGAATGTCCCTCATCGGCAGAAATAAAAATTAAAGACGGGTGCGTATTCTTAAGCAAAAGCTAAAAATACTGTTATGGGCTTACTTAAGTCGAGTTAAGTAAAATTACAGCCTATATTCGTGTCCCACTACTGGGAACAATTCTTCTCATTTCGAGGGTTATGGAACAATTAGTTCAGCTTGCAGCTCCAGTGTGTGTTTGCGGGCTACATACATCCTTAAAATATTTTATTCCTCAGACATTTAGGTTTCCTTACGGTTGCTTTCTTCACAATGTGGTAAATTAGGAACTGAAATTGCAATTAACGATTTCATCGGTGACAGCGGGGATCGAACCCGAGCTGCACGCGTACTGACTACAGCTAGCGCTTAACTACTGAGCTGGGGCTGTTGTTATATGCCTAGCCAACATTTTTATGAGGTTAACTCTCAGAAGAAAAATGATTTGTCCTTCAAGAAACGAGCTTCCTCCTATATTATATATAAGGTCAGTTCGGATCACCTGCAATTCCTCTTGTGTTGACATTGAGCCGCATGCTCGTTTGTCACACGGTTAAACGTGGCTTTACGTAGAACTTACGGGTGGCTTAACGCTTGATTTCGGCGCTTAGAGGCGGTGGATTTGGATCCCGTAAGGATCAAATGTTTGTATCATCGTGACAGCCCATCACAAAACTACTGCTGTATATAGGCTTGCACAAGGAATACCACAAGACACTGTCATGGGCCATCTGCATCCATTGACTTCCTGCATTTTTTACGAGGTCGTCACTATTGGGGAGCCGCCTTACACTTCGCTTATCGCTACTAGGTTGCCGCTCCAGAACTTTTTTCTCACATGTTTTGTAGTCCTAGTGATAGTATAGCCTTCTAATATTTTTTCCGGGTTCTGGATGTTTGCCTATGCGCAATAGGTATATGTACGTAGAACGCTTCCTTTAAGAGTTAAAAATATTAATTAAATAATTTTCACGTTGTTTTCCCTTATTATATAAATATATTGATATTTAAGACGTTATAAGCAAGTATGTGCCATAATCTGTATTTAAGGTTTGTGAAACGGTGTAAAGAATACAATAATTACCATCTTTTCATTGCTAACTGACCCTCCAAGTGTGCAACCCTAGGAGATTGCAGGTCGTGGGGGCAGCAATGCAAAATACGTTCTTGTATCGAAACGCGTAAGGTGTATTTTTTCTCAACGGAGCTATTTTTTTCCCGACGGCTCCGTGGCCCAGTAGCTTAGCAATGAGTTGCGGCGCTTAGAGACCACGGGTTCGAATCCCACAAGGAATAAATATTTGTATGGCCTACAAATAGTATTTGTTCTCGATCTGGACGTTTGTCCTTGTGAAATTTATTAATTATTAATTTATGTAAACTGTCTCCACGGTGCAAGAATAAATCCTAGCGAGGGTTACCTTTTTTTTTTACTTTGTTTTATAATAACAATAATAAATTGTTACAGGAAGTTGCTGTTGGATACGCATGAAATATGTTCCTGTTTTGGGCAAGTATATTTTAATTTAACAACTTTTTTTTTAATTAGTTAAAATTTTTAATTTAAAATAAACTACGGCCGCAAACCCAAGTGCCTAGTGTGCCATAGCTATCGACTTCTATAGGCTGTGATTAATGAATACCGTAATTTATTATGTCAAAGTAATGTTACTGTCAACTTAAGTATAATTTTTATTTATTTATTAGGATAAAAAACAATAGCACAGTAAAATATATGACCAACAATTATAGGTAATTAAATCGCGCTGGGGGCCGCGGATTCGAATCCCGCGCGGAACAAGTATTTATATGGCCTACAAATAATTGTTCCGGGTCTAGGTGTTTGTCTTTGTGCAATTTATGTTTGTAAACAGCCACCACGATACAGGAGAAAATTCTAGTATCGGGGTAATAGAAAATATTAAAAAAAATCTTAACATCAACATTTACCACAGCTTACATGTATAAATAAATAATTATAAACTCGTGAAAAATTGATAGGTAGTGCAATTATATTAACAATTTAGGAATTTACTTCTTAAATATACTAGGATATAAATATATAGCGGTACCGTAATATCTAAAGACATTGTTGGGCAAAAGTCTCTTTTTATTTTTAAGAGAGGAGCAAAGACGTGCCAGTCCGTGCTGTTCCATGTCAGTTCCAAGTCTAAAAGTGAATCTCAATGAGGTCTGCAATCATATTCACATGTTGTCGAAATAATTACTTATCGAACATGCCGATTTTCTATTTCTTCTTTCCTTCACCGCCAACCACGTGGTTAACCGTGTGGTATGATTTGCAGGGAAAGCTTACTACCTGAGGTATTACGGCTAAATATTTATGCTATTTATGCTGTGATATAAATTAGTTGGAGCGACGCTGCTGCTGTGTTATGGTTGTAGCACGAATGTGTCGGCTCGACTGTTGAAGGACCACGCTATCACAGAATACCAGCGTTACCAGAATAGCAGCTTAATAGCGAGTGAAATTAAACCATAGGCCATTTTTTACTGGAAAAGAGACGTTCGATCATCCTCAGGATGACAACTCATCTGCGTTTTTATTCTTAATCTAGAGTGGATGTAGATGTCTGTGAATCACAGGATCAATTTTCCATCAGGAGGATTGTATGCTGTTTGTCACGCTTATTCTTTAAAAAAATACGTTTAATTCAACCAATTACTAACCACGCCCGATTTTAATGTCGTTTCTTATTGTAGAGATGAAGCTGTCAAGCCCGAGGCAGGCGAAGGAGCTGAGGTACGCAAGTATCAATAATTCATTACTATTATCATTATTATTTTAGTTTAAGATCACATGGTCACCTTAAACCTGTCAAAATTAGACTAAATGTCATCATTGTTTCTTTGTTTATTACGGCCTGTCAAAGTCCTTTGCTAAACACAAGCCTTTCCAGAGATTGCCTTATATTTTTAATCGATTATTGAAATGCCATCTATTGAAAATTCATGAAAATTTCTGATTATTCCTACGTTTTCTTCTTCTAGTAAAACCTTTTAATGTGAAATTACTCTAAGCTTTTAACCAATTTCTGGGTACAGAAATACTATCATGAAATATTTTCTTTGAAATAATTAAACGTGGTAAATCGGTATTTGAATTGCAATCAAAAATTTAAGTGACCGCTGACCACTAAAGCAAGTTTCACCTTCGTACTAAATACCAATTTTCAAACCTAAGACTCATTATTAATCGCTTCCAAAAATGAAACAAGATTCTTCCAGACGAGCAGTTCAACTTTAAGTTCGAACACTCGTGCATTGTTTTATAGTATACATTCTGAATGGTTTCAATATCTAAAAAGGGGCCGTGAGACCACTAGCACCGGCACACTATTTACGAGTGATATCCCTAAAGACCCAGTACTTAATACTGCTCTTTTCACCGATGATCTTCTTCGCCCATCAAAACAAAAGAATTCTCACCGAGATGCTCCAAGCAGCCGTCAACCGCTTAGCTGATTGGTTTCTCTTATGGAGAATCGAAATGAATCCTGAGAAAAGTGTAGCAATATACTTTCAAAGGAACCCACTCTTAATTGTCAAATTAAAACTCTCAAGAAATCGATATAAACAATCACCCTGTTCGGCCACCAGATCCCCTGGCAACCAACGGTTAAATATCTAGGGTAACATTCGAACACGGTATGACCTTCGTGAAACGTATTCGTTATGTCAGCAACTGTGCCAAAATCGTCACTAGTCGTCTCCACCCGCTAGTTAACAGCAAGAGCAAACTATTCCTTAAGACACAAGCTTCATCTTTACAAATCTTTCGTAAGACCTATTATGTTCTACGCAAGTGTTGTTTTGGCGCATGCTGCCTGTCGCCATTTGTACGACCTTCGTGTCGTCCAAAATAGATTCTTACACAAAGCTCTCGGTGGCTTCGGAGACTGTCAACTTCCGACGATCTCTGAATACTTCAAGGAAATGTCTTGCGCTACTTTTTTCTGAGGGCCGAGACACATCCCAACCTGATAGTGAAAAACGCTGCTACCTAAGCCCTGACTCAAAACGTTACGGATAGTATTCGGAGGCATCGTAATGTTTAAATCGAACCCCCCCGTTCTGCTAGATTGCGACGACCTAAACGTCACCGGCCAATTATACAGAAACACTACATACTCACCGAGTGCCATAGAGAAAATTAGGACAACGGATGTCCGACGAACGGGAGTCCGCAGACGGACGCACCGCATAACCCGTCACACTGTGTACACACTGTAAATCCGCATCCCTGGGCGGTCCTCACCACCCAGAACATCGAAACACCTTTTTTACAGCTCGCGGCCTACAGGCCGTGAGCCCTGATACCGATGAAGCTATGAAAGTAAAAAGGCTAACAGCACTAACATCAACAGAAACCAGATTTAATTTATGCTGTTACCCGCGGCTTCGCCCGCATGGTCACTGGGAAATGAACTATCCATTGCTTTTTGAATTGAAAGAAAACTGAGTTTTATAGATTTTTCAGAGATGCAGCCATTAAAAGGAAACTGAGCAAAATTGATTCGTCAGCTTATTTAAATGTTTTGAAACGTAGAGTATAGAAAAGCATGAAAATAGCCTGTTTATTCCAAATGGAAATGGGATATTTTTTTAATTATAGGAAACTGAGCATAATTATCCGTCAAGGATGCAGACTTTTGAAAAGAAACTGTGCTAAATTGATTCGTCAGAGATGCAGTTTTCTGAATTGAAAGGAAACTGACGCAAATAAAAGATCCGTCAGAGATGCAGCCTTTTGAGTTGAAAGGAAACTGAACTTAATAGGTCTGTCAGAGGTGCAGCATTTGGAATTGAAAAGAAACTGAGCTAAATAGGAAATTTTGAATTGAAAGGGAAGATCTGTGGGAATTCTGATTAATTGATTGTGGGAATTTTGAAAAAAAAACTAACTGAACACTATTTTAAGACGCTACTGTACACAATGTTATATGTTTTTCCATTCGGGGAAAGAATGTGGAGATTCTGGGCATTTCACACACGCGAACATGCTACATGCAGCTGGCCATGAGCGAAGCACGGTTTTTCTAAGTTGACCCCCGCTACCTGTAACGTTTGCCCTAGCGGTTTATTAATTGTCATTGCAAAACTGAGCTTAATAGGGAACTGCAACCTTTTGAATTGAAAAGGAAGATCTATGGGAATTATAGGGATCCGTGGTATAATAACATTTTCACCTTTTCCTACCATGTAGCAGCCAGATTAATCAAACCGAAACGGGAATAAATAATATATACTCCGCTGCTACCATAACGCGGAAGGCGAGAATAAATATAAAAAAAACATTTTATTTCCTAATTATTCTTGGCTACTGAGATACTGCGGACTGTATATAGATAATTTGACGTTCTTATAAAGAAACAAGAAGCAGCCGCAAATATCATTCAGCGCCACACCGACTTCACACGCCGCTATCGTCACGTATCCGTCGACCAATGGTGAGCCGTTTCTTCAACGCCGCAGTTCGTTTCCTCTTGCTGTTCCGGAGCTGTATTCCACACCGCCGCCTGCGCACCGATCTGCATGTCTTATATAGCCCGGTCCAGCGACGTAGCTTCGTGAACAGTGTTGCCAACGGATGAAATAGCAATCCGCCAGACAAGGCTCCTCAAACCACCAGAAAATCACTAACAAAAAGATGTCCCCCTCTGAAAACCACTAAAATTTCCACTAAGATATATGAATATGATTAAAGCAAAAAAAAAAAAGTAAAATTACGTTTATTATTAAAAATCTTATTGTTGTTAATATAATTTTTTTACTTTTAGTACTTAAAAACATCAAGTTGCTTAAGATATTATTTACATTAATAAATCGTCTTCAGATGAATCTGCATTTTCATTTCAGCCTTACTGTTATCCTTATCAGACTGATATGACTCCTTCGTCCCAATTTGTTTTATAAGATTTAAAGGAATTTCATAATTGTTGTAGCACTTTCCCATTAACTGTATACCGCAGCGTATTTTTAGAATTGATTTCAAAAGAGTTAGCTTCATTCTGTTTCGCTGCTTGTTTTTTATAATATTCATGCTACTGAAAAGTCTTTCCACATCGGCATTCGAATGTGGCAATACCAAAAGTATAATCGCAAATGTTGCTAATTCTTGAAATCGAGCAACACCTTATGCATCTTTGAATTTCAAGACTTTGCTCCAAATTTTTTTTGTATTTTTGTTTCATTCCATCTCAGTAAATGAATTTGCTGCCATTGATCGTAAATTTTTGCAATTAATTCTGTACTTGTTACGAACCGAGCCATTATATCAACCAGATTTTCTTTGTTGTGATGCAGGGCTTTTTCGAGACTTATACGGGATATTTGTTTCATGAGAGTAATATTTTCCGGCAATCTGTTTTTTATTTCGTCAATCAGACAACCTATAAACTGTATGCACCTATTCCGCAATACTTCTTCCTCTTCCCGTGGAAAACCTTTCTCTTTCATTTCTTGAATCTGTTTTTCGAATCGGAATCCCAGGTAGCATCTTTGGTCCAAATAGTCACGAATATTTTGAGTAAAGATATCTATCTTATGTGTAGGCAACGTTACTTTTAAAATTCCTAATCCGCTAAAAAAACCACTAGCCACTAAAAGCAAAAATTTGCCACTAAAAGGGGGTTCCAAACCACCAGATTTAGTGGAAAATCCACTAAGGTGGCAACACTGTTCGTGAACAACAAACAAGTCTCACGCCGGGAAACGAAACGTAGATAATTGTATATTTTAAATAGTTTTCATTGGTCATAAAATAAGCAATATAATTGGCTAGGCAAAATATTAATTGTTACCATTGGCAAATCAATAGTAAGCCAGCCATATAAATATAGGCAAGGTTGATGCAAAATATATTCCATTCCGAATCCCATTCGACAGTACATTCATAAACATAAACAGTAGTTTCATTTCTCCACCTTAAAGAAAACCACTCGGAGTCTGTTAATAGTGGACAGTTCGTCTCCACTATTACAGTGGTGACCCCGTACGAACACCGAGGGGGAAGATCCGGTACGAACACCAAGAAGGAACACCCTGCGACGTACCACTACTATTGCACGAACACCGCGAAGGAAACCCGTACGAACACCGAGAAGGAAGACTTCAGTTTATATAAAATCAGTGTAATCAAGCCGTCATTATGGAGCAGGAAGCAAACACATATACATCAAACCCGGTAAAAGAACCAGAAATCGCCGGTATATCTCTATCGTTAAGAATACCACCGTTTTGGAGAGACAAACCACGACTATGGTTCGTCAGTTTTGAAGCCGCAACGAATGGTTTAAAGAAGAGCCAAGCGCAATTAGCACAGATGGTGATAGCCCAACGTGAGAAACAAGACATCGAACAAATTGCGGACCTGTTGTACAACCCACCAGCAGTTGACCAGTATAATTCACTGAAGGATCGTCTGATCTCCGCATATGAAGAATCCGACAGTCGACAGCTACAGAAACTTCTATCAGAAATAGAACTTGGAGACCAGAAACCCTCACAACTCCTACGCAAAATGCGTACTTTGGCGCGAGATAAAGTTCCGGATTCAACACTACGGCTAATGTGGGTAAACCACCTACCACCACATATTCGATCGGTAATAGCAGTCAGCGAAACATTCAGCACGCAGACGAAGCTCGACGAACTGGCACTCCTGGCGGACAAGATGATCGAAAACAGCAGTAGCTCACACATATCGATCATCGAAGGCACTTCAACAAAGGCCAATGATAC